CTGCTGTACTGTAAATGATCACACCCACTCTAGCATTACCGCCATCAATGTCAGCTTCATACAGGAAATCTTTTACAAAATCTTTCATCAATTCAAAGTTGGGCTCAGTCACACTGGTGGAAGCGTCCAGGACAAACACCAAGTCAATCTTGGCTCCGGCACAACCTGTGGTTACAAAAATGATTTTTAACAACAACTTACAGTAAGACCCTGAAACACGAACTTCACGGGATTAGAGAATTTCTTTTTTATGAGGGGGGCTATTAAAAAGAACAAAAAGATGGGGAGACAACTTTGCTAGTGTTAAAATAAGACGTTTGCCTATGAGTAATTAATTTTAGTCTTTTTATAATCTCAATAAAGGGTAATTTCAAGCTGAAATACTTCGTTTTAAGGACTTCTGGTTTCTACTCAACTGTACTGCATTTGAGAACCAGACATTCGCAGTTCGAATAGGTGTTTACTATTTAAGTGCTTGGGGTTTAGATAAACATTTGCTGGGGTGTATTCACTTGACTTGATTCTGATAAAAAAGTATGGAAAGTAATGATCTTTCGTAAAATGTATGTTTTGTTGAGATATCTCCATGTATAATACCGTGCAGCAAAAGTTCTGTCACACCCACTTTAAAAGTACAATAACTCATATACTATTCAACATAGCCATTAGAAATTAGGTACACATGATCTTTATTCATTTTCTGCCAACATGCCATGAAAAGAATTGACCAATCTTTTCCTTATTTAAGGGCGATAATTTTATACACACTGACCCTGCAAAATCAAAGTTTGCTCAGTATTGTGTGTGGCTTCTTCCAGCTAGACTTACTGATACCAAATGTCTATTTATTGACTGAATTAATGTCCTTATGGTTGCCCGAGGAATCCCCTGACATTCCTTGTAAAGTTCCTGACAAGTTTGTACAGAGTGCAGCCTGTTTCTAATCGCCCAGTCAAGGTCATCTTACAGATGTTCTTTTGGGTAAGGCTTGTTGATCTTGCAGGACTGTCCAGATCAATGCTTTGAGGAGTTTAGAAGGAGTTTTGGCTAATCATGGCCGCATGGGGTCAGGCGTTGTCTTGTTAGCATATTCCACCAATCGTGCCATATTGGGCAGTCAACGTGATTATGGATTTCGTCACGATACTGTCGTCCATTAATGTTGCTTTGAAAAGCGACCATATGTGTATGATAAAGAGCAGAAAATTCACCCCACACCATCACATTTCAAGCACCAGATCGGTCCAATTAGAGAACATTGGCTTTGGAAAATCTCTATCCTCTTCTTTTAAACACTTTATCTCTTCCATTAATTCGACGAATTAAAAACCTGATCCATTCCTAAAGGGAACAATTTACCAATATCCTCAGTTCCATCGACGATGTTGTTGTGCCTAAATTTGGCGCTTTGTTCGATGAAACAGGGTTAGAATGGCCCGACATAAAGGGCGATAATAACTTTTTCCAGGATCATATAAATGTCTAATAATAGTGTTTTATTAAGACAGTCCGCTGCATCTGGTAGTCTATGCACTTAGTTGGAACGGGTTTCGAATATGGGTTTTGACAATAACCCACATCTGACGGTGGGTTGTTGCCCTTGGTTGGCCACGTCTAGGCTTGTCTTTGACAGTTCTAGTGTTGTTAAAGCGCTTGTTCAAGCGTTAGATGGTCCTGCTGCACACATTTACGAGCCTTGCAACAGAAGAAAGCGCACTTGAAGCATTTATCATACACACTGAGCGTTCATTTTGTGCATTTGTCCGTTTTGTTATTTTGAAAACAAGAGAACAAATCACCCAACTGTTAAAAATCACGGAGTTTTATAGTGTGTAAGGTGTGTTTACATATTGTCTGCGTGATTTAACGTAAATTTTGTGTGTAGGATGCCTACACTATGAGAACTCAGAACCAACCTTCACACAAGTCATACTTTTTCATTTTTGCTGCAATTCTTACTCTGTAGCGAAAATCATCGAATTATAATGGGTGTGACAGAACTTTTGCAACTCGGTAAGAAATGTTGTGAGATTTTTAAAAAACAAGACCACTCGAACTGTCAAAGGTGAGTGTCTATAAGTAAACAGTTGGACAGTAATGAGGAGCACATTGAAGATACCACGAAAAAAATTTACTTACTGACTTTCGTGGGTGGTGGTGGCGGTGTGGTTGGTGCTGGTGTTGAAACTGTAGAAGGGAAAAGCACCATGTATTCGTTAATATTTAAACTTTTGCAGCTATAGAAAGCATAATACATACATTAAATAATTCCTTCCAAGGAATTATTTTGATTCCACAAAATACCAATTTCTTAATTGAATTTAAGACAGAAAGCCATTACTTCTAGAATATTATTGAAAAAAAAATGTCCTTATTAAAATCTAAAAAAAAATTCGATTTGCCTGTAAAGATGTTAACTTAAAGGGAAGTGGTGGGGGGG